TATATATATATATATATATGTGTGTGTGTGTGTGTGTGTGTGTGTGTGTGTGTATATATATATATATGTGTATATATGTGTACATATAAATGAGGATATCTTTATCTACACGAATGGATTGGTTTTATTAAGTTACTGTCATGAAATGAATGGTGAAGAATGTCAGTGAGCAAGTCAAACAGATCGTGGTAGTACAGATCGTGGTAGTGGCAGAGTTGCATCCCTTTGGATTTGAGATCAGCACAGCTTTTGAATAGAAGATAAAGATTAGGGGGATCTCAACTGTTCAGTTAGTTTATGCAAAATGCCAACATGTTGGAAGTCGACAAAGCTGAGGCACCTCACACTTTACTGTGTATGTACACTGTATCATTTTAACAGAATATGAGTTTGTAGTTAGTACATTAATCATAATTTGAAAGAAAACGAATTAAAACTGACTACATCTAAAGAAAAGAACTCAAAATAGAATCACAACTAACGACTGTATGATGAAATACCCAAACCATGATAACCCTAGTGGGCAGCCCTTTTATTTTCAATGTTTTTCACTTGTTCATGTTTGTAGGAGACCTGTAAAAGATAGGTTTAGGTTGAGGAAATGTAATTTCAAATGAAAAGCACCAATTTATGTGTTGTTTTGTGTTATGTGTCCACCTGAGCCTATTGCAAGGTACACACTGGCAGTATTTGAAGTCTTGAAGTGTTGTGGCCTTGGTTACCCTCGCGAGTGGCAGCCAGCGAAGATCGCCCAAGGCCATTATCGCCTGGCTTGCCTGCCCTGTTAGTGCCATCTCTGGGTGTGACGCATCTCCAGGCTGCTATGTATGTTCATCGTGGTCATTTGCACTTTACACTTTGAGTCAAGGCCAATTTTCACACTGCAGACGCCTATTGAAAGTCACGCTCACGCACACACACACACACACACACACACACACACACACACACACACACACACACACACACACACACACACATGCACACACACACATTCTGATGTCTCGGTCTGTATGTCATATAACCTCCGCCTGCACATGCTACGCCCACACACATCCTTGCCCAAAATGCCTGCACACATAGTCAGTGTCCTTAAACACACACACACACACACACACACACACACACACACACACACACACACACACGCACACACACACACACACACATTTCTACATCACTCCTCTGCACACACTTACCACCCACACAAGCACACACATGTTCAGTCAGACATAAGCCGCTCATACATCCCACACTTAACAGACACAAAGTAGGAGCCTTACACACACACACACACACACACACTCACACACACACACACACACACACACACACACACACACACACACACACACACACACACACACACACCACACACAAGAAATGTGCTTCGTAAAAAAGCTGCTACTTTAAGACTCGATTTCTTTTCCCAGTGGCGTCCACGTCGTCGACAAACTTAAGGAACTGCATTGGCTCCAAATGAGGATGGACATTTGTGCCTCTGGGTTGTTCCCCCCCTTTTTTTCCCCCCGCCCCCATTCTTCCATCTACCCTCACTCGTCTCTCCTCCAAAGGGGGAAGTTGGATTAAAAACGAGCTGCTGGAGTGCTGAGGATGTGGGCTGTCTGGGAGTGGTGAAGTGGAGCGGCGTGGGTGCTCTGACAGGGCGAGGGGCTGACAAGCCCAGGCGTGGGCGTGTCATTGAAATGGCTTTCTCCTCCGGGGGAGCAAACAGAAAACGAAGAAGAAGAAAAAGGCAAAGGAGGAGGGAGCGGCGAGCTGCCGCACAAACGGAAAGTGAGATATGATGAGGCTGCCTGCCAAATGAGGCACATGCACT